CACATATATATATATGTATAATATATATATATATCTATATATATATATATAATGTATATATATAATATATATATATATATATATATATATATATATATATAATACGAGTGCTCCGCGCGCTAGCCGCAGCGTTTGACGAGGCCTGCCGCCTCAGCTACAGGCCAGAATAATGCCCCGCTTGAGAGCCGACAAGTATTCCCGAGAAGATGGAGCACGATGCTCGTATGATCGATAAACATGCAATGCTGTAATACTGGTACGCCGCGCGTAGGTGTATACGTGGGGCGCATGCACCAGTAAGTATTCGGCCAAGCGATAGCGGGCATAACGGGGTTACAGGCATGCACGCAGTCTCACGCATCACGACCAAGTTCATGCGCAGTAGGCAGCAGAGGCAGCAGCAGTAGGCAGAAGCGCAAATGATATAAAGTATATAGGTTATACAGGACAGCTCAACAAACAAGCGATCAGCACACACCCACACACACATGCCCGCATACACGCCACGACGGACGGTGGAGACACACAAGGACACATGAGCATGCGTCTTAGTCTGTAAAGCAGGATGTATACCACACACATATATGCCGCTGCAAAAAGGCCCAAGAACTGTGCACATACACATATATAACAGCTTGTTATAGTATGGAAGACAGCGTTCACATACGTTTCATGGCATACATAGTACGCATACAGTAAAACGCACTGAATATGAATACACACGACCTGTCGCTGACGTATTATGTATCAGCATGAAAAGGTGAGAAACATTGCCATCGGACCATGTAGTTGGATCTCAATGCGATGTGATATATGGCAACTACTTGCGTAACGTGGTACACTTCAGGGAGGGTAGGGTGGCATGAAGGGGAAGAACGGAGGCGGTCACGTCGCAGGGGTTCCAAAATTGGTTATGACAGTGGCACGCAGCACATTAGCTGAAAGCCCATCATAACAGATTAACATAGATATAATCTAGAGTAGACAGTACCGTCTGACAGTCCCACGAGATGCAAGAAAAAATACATACAATACCTTTCAGGTGCTTTATATCTGTGTGTTGATCGACGGGAGGGCCGAAGGTCAAACAATGTTTTGATTTCGACCGCTGACCCAAATATCACAGACTGCCAATTTATTGGCTGTTTGGTGTGGATCTCCAAGTTGACAGAAATGTCTCCTGCTTTTTGTGCCGTCATTCTACGGGTATCGCCCGCGTTGCCACGCTCGGAAATGTGCAGTACTCCGATTATTTGCTGCATGAGTGAATGCCAGTAATTCTAATATATAATGTACTCTGAGATATGTGATATTTTCCTATTAAGTCGAGACGCGAAAAAAAATCTCCTGCAATTTTAGAATGTGCACAGCTTTTCATCAACGACGAGAAGCTTTACGTTATACGGAGTGATAGAAACACGAGTGGTAGAATGCTGGAGGGAGAGGGATCCATTGGCTATTCTAACTCACACTGTTCTTTTACACATTTCAGTAAAACATGACGGGCGCATGCGATTCTACAAGCTGCATCTGACTATGTCAGATGAGCTAATAAAGTGTGGTTCCATTCGATTAGCCTGCAAGGCTTCAGTGAAGAGATTTTACTCCCTAGGTTAGTGATGAAGACTAATTACCATGTGAACTACTGTGACACACGCAATCCAGATGTTGGCAACAAGGAACTGGTATGAGACTATTCCACTACAAATTCTTTATCAAGCTGCAATTCGTTTAACCTTACTATGCCATAACATCACGAGTTTGAGATTGTTTGCTGCACTCTAGACATGTATATTAAGCCCTATAAAATTATATACACTATACATGTATAGACCCCAGTGTATATAACAGCTGCCAACATTAATAATAATGTAAATGATCAAAGTAACAATAATGTGAATGACTGATTTAGTCCATATTTAATATCAAGTATACATGCACAATCCTGTAATCTTTCTGCTAAGATACCTGGAAGTTGGAAGCACTCTTCAGCTGCACCTCTGCCCGTTTCCAGAAGTTTCCCACTTCATAGTACTGACTAAATACCGTAGTCATTCCTGCAGTAGTTAAAATACAACATGCAATACAATATACACCCTCACACACGCACGCACGCACTCACACACACACACACACAAGGGAGTTCTCAAGATGGACTACACATACCAAGCTTTTAAGAAATATATACACCTGGCAAACTACCTAAAAACATCTAACTATATCTTCTACAAGCATTTCCCTTGGACTATGACAGTAGCCAATGTAGGGTGATAATAGTAAAATAGTAATAAGCACAATTAATTATCATTAATAGTGTTTATGTATACATGGCAACCACGATGGCCTCATGCAGCGATAAGCACAAACCAGCCTACCACAATCTACCTGGTGCAATTGACAGGCAGCTCTAACCAATCAACATAACGAGAGGAAGCTCCAAAAACAATGCTTAATGACGAAGTGCTGCAAAGTCGTTTATGTCTATGTTTAAGTAAATAATACATTTATGAACAAACTGAGTGAGAGTTATTGGCATAGCAACAAAGGGATTGGGATTATCTCACTCAGGTGGAAAGATAAAATGAGGTCATGATGTATGATGACACTGGGGATAAATCACACTGCTGTACGATTCACTTTTTAGAACTAGCATGAATGATGACTGCCAATGAACTATTCGTACCTCCATCGCTATACACCCGCTGGTACACTTTCAGCGAGTTAACGCGCTTGCCATACATGTGGTAAAAGAAGCGCATCTTACAGATTCCATCATTCTTAGCATTGAAGATGGGGCTTACGAGCCACGCCTTGTCCAGATACTGCTGACCTGAAATCGTAGAAACGACAACCATTCTCGTTCATTCAGCAACATCGTATTACCATTTCGTAGTTTCATGTATAGATATTTTTCTTTCATGTAGTGCTATTATAGGAAGATTGCAACACAAATGAAATGTGCAGTGGCAAATTGTAATAGTGGCAAGCCTTTGTGCAATAATAAAACAGGTGCATCAGGGTGGAGGAGAGGATTAGAGCATCTTTCAATAATAAATCTTACATAATTTCTATCTTTATATATTCATTACATCAGGATATTGATAGACTCCTGGTTATATATATATATATATATATATATATACAGATATATACATATATAATATATAATATATAATATAATAATATATTTATATATCTTTTTAATTCATTGAGTGTAGACTGCCAACGGTCAAAACAGGGTAATTATCAAAATTATTTAATTGTCGTTCTTATTTTACTTGT